AAACAGAGGATACTACATCTGATGCCACAGAAATAAGGACTATAAGAGACTACTATGCTAACAACTTAGATAACCTAACAGAAATGGACAAATTCCTAGAAACACACAACCTGTGAAGACTGAGTCATGAGAAAATAGAAAATATGAAGACTTACAACCAGCAAGATTGAGTCAGTAATCAAAAATCTCCCAATACAAAAAAGCCAAGGACCAGAGGGCTTCACTGAAGAATTCTACCGAACACTTAAAGAAGAATTGAACTCGATCTTCCTCAACCTCTTCCAAAAAAACTGAAGAGGAGGGAACAATTTCAAATTCATTTTATGAAGTCACCATGATCTTGATACTAAACCCAGACAAAGATATGACAAAAAAAGACCATATGCCAATATCCCTACCAATATAGGTACAAATATCCTCAACAAAACACTAACAAGCCAAATTCAACAATATATTTAAAAAAATCGAACACCATGTTCAAGTGAAATTTATCCCTGGGATGCAAAGATGGTTCAACATGTGAAAATCAATCACACCACATTAACGAAAAGGATAAAAACCACAGAATGAATTCAATAGATTCAGAAAAAGCATTTGACAAAAATCAACACCCTTTCATGATAAAAAACACTTTCAACCATTAGAAATAGAAGAAACTATCTAAATATAATAAAAGCCACATATGAAAACCCACAGCTAACATCATACTTAGTGAAAAACTGAACGCTTTTTCTCTAAGATCAAACAGAAGACCAAGATGTCTACTCTAACCACTTCTGAAATATAGAACTGAAAGTCCTAGCTAGAACAACTAGGCAATTAAAAAAAGTCAGAATCACCCAAATCAGAAGGAAATAACTAAAATTATCTTTGTCCATTAATGATATGATCTTATATGTAGAAAACCTTATTTTAAAAAAGCTGTTAGAATCAAAGAATTCAGTAAATTTGCAAAATACAGATTCAGCATACGTAAATCAGTTACATTTCTATACACTACAAATGAACAAGGCAAAAAAAAGTTAAGAAAATCCCATTTACAATACCACCAAAAAGAATGAAATATTTAGAAACAAACATAACCTAAGAGGCAGAAAACTTATATACTTAAAACTACAAAATATTGCTAAAAGAAATTTAAGGGCCTGGTGGGTGACTCACACTTGTAATCCTAGCACTTTGGGAGGCCAGGAGGGAGGATAACAAGGTCAGGAGTTCAAGACGAGCCTGGCCAACATGGTGAAACCGCATCTATACTAAAAATACAAAAATTTAGCTGGGTGTGGTAGCACGTGCCTGTCATCCCAGCTACTTGGGAGGCTGAGGCAGGAGAATCGCTTGAATCCAGAAGGCAAAGGTTGCAGTGAGCCAAGATTGTGCCATTTCACTCCACTCTGGATGACAGAGCAAGACTCATTCTCAAGAAAAAAGAAAGAAAGAAAGAAATTAAAGAAGACACGCAAATAAAAGACAGTACTTGTCATAAATTAAAGATTTAATATTTTTGAAATATCCACACTACTCAAAAAAATCTACAGATTCAATGCAATCCCTATCAAAATCCCAATGGCATTTTTTGCAGAAATAGGAAAAAGCAATCCCAAAATTGAAAGGAATCACAAAGACCCCTACTAGAAACACACACACAATCCTGAGAAAGAACAAAGATGAACGCCTCGTACTTCCTGACAGGGGCCTACAAATGTATGAAAAAAACTACAAAAATCAAAAACGGCAAAGTAGTAACATAAAAATAGGCATGTAGACTAATGAATAGAGCACCCAGAAGTACATCAAGATGATCCAGTCAACTGATCTTCTACAAGGGTGCCAAAAATACACAATAGGGAAAGGACAGTCTCGACAGATGGTAATGTGAAAACTGAACATCCACATGTAAAATAATGAACCTAACCTTTATCTGACATCATACACAGAAACCTACTCCAAATGGACTAATTCGTTTCTCATGGGAATTAAAATTTGTAGATAAGAAAGGATAGGACGCTAGAATAATCCATGTAATGGATTAGAGTTGCAGACATCAATATGAGCTTGTTTAGCTGAATATAGACATGTATGATCATATAAATATTTATGGGCATGTGTATATACACAGGTTACTACACATGCACATATTTCTTAGTTCTGGCAGCACCGAAAGGGCCTTAAAGAAATAATACCTCAGTAGCAAGGAGCACACCTAGCTTGGTTTCTAACACCATTCTTCAATAAAAGGAGAGCTCCTTGGAGAAATAACTGATTTTAGGATTGGGCAGGAAATACACAAGATGAGCCTGAAGCATCTTGTACCGCCAGAGAGTAAGGAAATAACTTCCCAAGATAAAAGGAAAAAGATGTACCCCGTTTCCCTGAAAAAAATAAAAAGTCCACTCTCATTGATGGGGATTTTGTCAAAGGGACATAGGAGCCAAGTGAAAGAGCTCCTAATGGCCAAGCCTAGAACAATTTGAGTAACAAAGCAGTACTGAATTATAACACAAAGTATGAGTCCATACTGATCAGTAGAAATCTCAATAGTAGAAAAGAGACAAATACGTACCAAATTCCACACAATTTATATAGATACTCCAACCCCAAAAAGAGAGAGCACGCCTGTCCACTCCTTAAGTATGGGCTGAACTACAGTGATTTCCTTAAGTATAGTAGGAAAAGAGGAAAATGAAGAGTCAGTTAACAGTGAGGACACCTGTACATCAGCCAGGTAATCAAGATTAATGTCGTCATAAATCATGCTAGCAGTATGTACCCTTGATTTGATGTGATAAAAATGGCATTTTATCTCTGTGATCTTCCTTCTCAACATCCGTAACCCAAGTCTAATCACGAAGAAAACAACATCAGACAAATTCCAATAGACAGAGACATCCTACAAATTATTTCACCCACTCTTCAGAACTGTCAAGGTCATCAAAACATCCCAACTAAATGTAATATGCTACCTAGGATAGAATCCTGGGGGAAAAAAAATAGGGAAAAAATTAGAAAGCTTGAATAAACTCTAGAATTTACTTAACAATAATGTGTCAGTATTAGTTCACTATAACAAATGCACTGTATTAATGTGAAATGTTAATAATATACAAACTCTGTACTATCTTTTAAATATTTATCTTAAACTGCTTTAAAAAATATAAGGTTTACTTGGGGCAGAAAAGATAAGCCACAGATTAGAAGTATCTGCAGGGTATACATCTGATCAAGGATTTGTATTCAGAATAAGAGAGCTCTCAAAACACAATACTAAGAAAACAAAAAATCCAGTTGAAAAATGAGTAACAGATCTGAGCAGACACTTCACTGAAGATGTATAAATGGCAAATACACATATGAAAACATGCTCAACATCACTGGTCATTAGGAAAATTTGTTAAATATTGTTAAAACCACAGTGAGACACATATATATTAAAATAACTGAAATGTAAAAGACTGGCAGTGTCAAGTGTTGGCAGGATGGAGCTGGAACTCTTGTAGACTGCAATGGAAATACAAAACGGTAAAATCACTTTGAAAAATTTGGCAGTCATTCTAAGTCAAGTAACTCGAGGATAGAAAACCAAGTATTATATGTTGTTACTTATAAGTGGGAGCTAAGCTATGAGGATACAAAGGCATAAGAGTAATATAATGGACTTTGTGGACTCAGGGAAGAAGGTTGGGAGGGGCATGAAGGATAAAAGATTACATTTAGGGTACAGTATACTGCTCAGGTGTTGGGTGCACTAAAATCTCAGAAATCACCACTAAATAACGTATCTGTGTAAAAACCACCTGTACCCCCAAAAATTATTCAAATAAAATTTTTTTTAAAGTTTGGTAGTATCTTGAAAAAATAAACCTACCATATCATCAAGTCATTTCATTCTAAAGTACTTGCTCAAGAAAAAGCATATGTTCATTCAAAGATGTATGCAAGAAATTGTGTATTCTAATGCCTAAAACTTGTACCAACCAAAATATCAATCAATAGGTGAATAAACTGTGGCAGAACTCTATAGCATAAATACTTCTCAACAATAAAAATAAACTACTGATACACGCCACATGGATGAAACTCACAATAATGCTAAAAGAAGTCAGATTTTTTTCTTTTTTTTTTAGAAAAAGAGGCACATACTACCTGATTCTTTTACACTAAACTTTCAAAATCGCAACAATCGGTAGTGACAGGAAGCAGATCAGTGGTTACCCGAGGGGAATGGAAGGGGCAGGGACTACAGAGGACAAAGAGGAAACCTTCAGGAGTGATCAAATACTCATCATCCTAGTTGTGGTGATATTTTCATGGATGTATATATGTCAAAACATGACATTGCACACCTTTAATATGTACAATATTTAGTATACAGATTCAATTTCAATAAAGTGGCTGAATATGCTAATGGAGTGTTTCCAAGTGGTGAGAGGGAGACTAAATACAGCAAGATGTTTTCCTTGTAAAGAAGATACTGCATGGGAAGCTGAAATTTAGAAGAGACTTCATGATGAGTGCTACTCAAAGTGCTGTTCTACAAACCGTTACTGGCCCATAATAACAAAGAACTTGCATAAGAAGGTAAATCAACTAGCGCACTAAGCACACTGTTTGCTTCAGCTGATAAATTTTTTTAAACCAAAATTTCTCGATGAAGAAAGCAGTATACTGATAACACTTTCTAGCCCAAGCTCCTTATTAAATCACCGATCTGTTACAAATAGTTTACAGACAGAACTGTACTTCTCGGCAGTTTTTGAGTAGCACTGTTTAGATCACACTCAGATATTAAAACTCTAAGCCTATCCTCATCTGTATGATGTAATAATTGCTCTGGATGCATCAAAGAATAATCTGATGCTCTAATGAGCCATATGGCTTGCAAATAGCAAGCACCTATTAATTATGTATTATTGAGTTATATATAATTATGTACAACTACTGAGTTATTTGGAGTCATTTAAAATACAGCAATATATAAAAATAAAACAAGACACTTTTCATTTGCTCAGAATACTTGTTTTTAAAGTTAACTGAGGTTACAAATGGTTTGTTTTTCCAATGAATCTGTTAACATCCAAAAGTATTCAATATTGAGTTTATTAACAAAAGTGGACCTGTACATAATCTGATATTTGAATAATATACACACTGCACAATGACATCTGTTTTTTCTCAGAGCAATGTTTCCCAAACATAGAAATGCAGAAGTAACAATGTTACTTTCATTTTTCTATATTCTAGAGATTTTAGTTTCTAGAATTCATAAACTCAAAATTGCTCACATAAGTTTAGAGTATTTGTTCTTGTCTCCGACAGAGATATTCTCTAAGAAATTTTACATTTTATAACTTTCCTCTGAAATATGAGAAAGATATGGAATCTCCTGAGTTATATATGCAGCTAATACATTCTTTGAAAAAGTTAATTTTTAAAAATATCACAAAGTAATTATATATCCATAATATATGTTGCTATTCACATAATTCTTTAAGCAGTATTCAAGTATATTTGTGCTTTATATGTTTACATTACATTAGAACTTATTTTTAGCTTTCAATAAAACTGTGTATCTCCAAAGATTTCTCATATATTTAATAAATGAAGCAAAACAATCATGAAAATATAAACTGCTACTATGGATTTTTCATCTTTCATTTTATGCATTTCCTCTCAACCATGTAATTTCCTGTTAAGGAATGTTGATAAAGTTTTATCTTTTATAATATCAACACTGCCGCTTTCTCAGCCTGGTGTAAGAGTCAAGATATCGCAGCGTTTCTGAACACACAGTATTCACTCTGCCATATAAGTTGGAGCAATAACATCTGATAGCACTGGTATTCATCATTTCCAGTTATTTCAACTGCAGGACCACCTTAAAACACAAATTGAGGAGAAAATATCAGGTTATATAAGACTGATGCTGATATATACCAATTTAAATGTTTTCAAATCTCTGAAAAAGTGCATGGAGAACTCATAACAAGCAAGTACAATGCACAGTAACTGATGACACATGCCTGCCAGAATCTATGGTTCAGAATCTATTAGCATTTATACCAGGTTCTACCACATGCATCCTTCACACATGTAGCCCCACTCAGCCATCCTGCAAAGCCTGGGCTGCTTGTTTCGTTAATAGGCACGTGGACGAGTAATCAAAGCACTCAAATGTTTCAGCAAATGCAGAGTGCAGAGAGAAGCTGAAGTTCATCAGAGATTTCAAAAAGTAGGATCAAGAAGATTGAATAGTGGGACAACAGAGGTGGTAAGAATCACAGAAATTTAATCACTGAGATGAGATCACTAGAGAAAACAATGAGCAGTAACAAAGAAACATATGTATACAAAGATAATTATTTTTATTCTTCCTCACAACAACAGTTTCTACTGTTTAAATATTATTTTTCTCATGTATTAAACATTAGGAGTGGTTACTGTTATTTAGCCACTCCACTGTAAACATGAAGTTTTTGGACATTCATTAGTTCTGTTTTGCCTCAACCTGATTTTGTCATAATAACTACAAGCCATATTTTGTCTTCCATACTTAGAGGATCATAAAAGCAATTTTTTATTATTAGTTCAGTTAATAAAGCCACTTTTTATCAGGATCATAATTTTTTAATCATAAAAACTCTTCACAATCAATTAATTTTATGATTCTAAGGTGAAAATTTTAGTTTTATTATTAATGAGCATTGAAGCAAAAGAAATTCAGCTGTTAGAACAGCACTATTATTCTTTCAAAAATTACTTAATATATTATGCTCAAAACTAAGTAATTGAACATTACAAGTTATAATTAATATCCAAAACTAGAGCTCAGAACATATTAACAAAGTACTTTATGTGCTTAATTAACATAAAACATCAGGAGAAAAAACACTAAAAGTGAACTATGAGTTTAGGAGTATCCATCAAAACATAAACACTTGGCTGGACGTGATGGCTCACACCTGTAATCCCCGCATTTTGGGAGGCCGCCTGAAACCCCATCTCTACTAAAAATACAAAAATTAGCCAGGTGTGGTGGTGGTGGGCACCTGTAATCCCAGCTACTCAGGAGGCTCGGGCACAAGAATCACTTGAACTCAGGAGGTGGAGGTTGCAGTGAGTAAGATCACACCATTGCACTCCAGCCTGGGTAACAGAGCAAGACTCCAACTCAATGAAACCCAAAAACCTTAAACATTAAAATCATATGACAAAATTAGGGCAAATACCTTATATGCTGCTTCCAAGGAATGTATTAGATTCTGCAGTTCCTCTCTACTCATTTCAATAGAATATGGTTTTACTTCACCATTTTCTTTTACATCTAGATGCAGGCTTAAAAGTGGCATTCGTAATGCAGCAATCTTGTCACTGGAAAGTGCAAGCTGTTTAAAATTAGAAAAATAGCAATTAATAACAAAGAACTATAATGAATATGCATCAGAGGTTAGTTAGCAGCAGATTTTTTAAAAGTACTGCTGTTTGCCGTTAAGTATAGAGAAAGGTGAAAGAAAAATTAAATTCATGCTAAAACATATCTGAAGAATAGAAAGACAAAGAAGAGCAAATAAAGGACAGGAAATGGGTAAGAAAATAAGACAACCAATCAGCAATCTTGTGGCAGAAGCTGATATCTAGATCAGAGGCATGCCTGGGAAGTACTGAATAGGTCTAACATGCAAAAAACATAGAGAATTCTTAAGGAAGATTAAAGGCACCAAGAAGATAAAAGTTCATGTGCAAAGACAAGTGAGACCAAAAATATTGGTAAATTCTCAGAAATTAAGATGCTTAATCCGGGCCAGGCGTGGTGGCTCACGCCTATAATCCCAGCACTTTGGGAGGCCGTGGCGGGCGGATCACGAGCTCAAGAGATCGAGGCCATCCTGGCCAACATGGTGAAATCCCGTCTCTACTAAAAATACAAAAATTAGCTGGGTGTGGTGGCACGAATAGCTGTGGTGCCAGCTATTCAGGAAGCCAGGCGGAGGAATTGCTTGGCCTCAGGAGGCAGCAGTTGCAGTGAGCCCAGATTGCGCCACTGCACTCCAGCCTGGCGACACAGCAAGACTGTCTCAAAAAAAAAAAAGATGCTTAATCCATGTTCAGCTAACTATCTACCACACTACTGATAAATATGTTATCAAGATATCATTTTCAATTATAGCCACTGGACAGAAACACTCTGTACATTTACCTCACTTCTTAATTTCCTTCTCTGGAGTATATCCTAGGGAAATTGGAAGAACCAAATATTTATAATACTAATACTTTTTGAAACGAGCACTACAGCATCCTTGGCAGACAGCATAGAAAAATTCAATTTTCCTGGAATCTGAGTCAGAGAAATCCAAAAAAACTGAACCTTTGTTTAGAATGCTACCACTTGCAAAAAAATTATTTGTGCAATGATAAGAGACATCTTCCCTAACAACCTCAAAGGATCTCCCTTGCGGTACATACACACAGAATCAAATCTTGACATAGCTCCTCCATTCTCTCACCCCAAAACTGGAAGTATCAGCTTCGGGTTATCTATTTCATGCATAATTCTTCTCAATATTTCCAATAAATGTTTCTTCAGCCTATGCTTGAATACCACCAATGATAAGGCATGTGCTACCAGGAGAAAAGGTTACAATCATTTCCAGATACTCCTATTTGTTAAAAAGTCCTTCCCTAGGTTGAATTGAAACCCATCTTATTGCAAATAATATACCTTAGGCCTTCTCCTAGTCTCTGGAGCCACAAAGTCATAGAGCCCCCCTATGACTTTTAGCATTTTAAAGATAAATGTCATGTTTCCACTAGGTTTAATCTTTTCCAGGTGCATGGTCTCAGTGTTTCAAAGCAATTTCACACACCATGATTTTAAGTTCCTAGTCATTCTTTTCTAGTTGGAATCCAATTTCCTTAAATCTCTCTTAAGGAAAGTTTGGCAGCCAGAACTAAAAAGATTATATTACACTAAAAAGATGTCATCATCGAAAACAGAATGTAGTAGTACTATCTCTTGCATGAAGAACTGCATTTCTACCCACAAAACATGAGCCTGAATCAACACTAATGAAGCTATACTTTGATAAACTAAAATAACTAAATATTTCTCATATATGCTACTATTAACATCTCTCCCTTATCTTTTATTTATTTATTATTTTCTGAGACAGAGTTGCGCTGTTGCCCAGGCTGCAGTGCAGTGGCATGACGAACTTGGCTCACTGCAACCTCTACCGCCTGGGTTCAAGCAATGCTTGTGCTTCAGCCTCCCAAGTAGCTGGGACTACAGGCACACACCTCCATGCTCAGCTAACTTTTGTATTTTTTTTAGTAGAGATTCAGTTTTGCTTTGTTGGTCGGGCTGGTCTCAAAACTCCTGGCCTGTAGTGATCCACCAGCCTCAGCCTGCCAACGTGCTGGGATTATAGGCATGAGCCACAACTCCCGGCCTCCCTTATCTTTTATATTTATAAAAATATAAAATCTGAAATTGAAATTAAATTTATAAAATTTAAATAAAGATTTAAATTAAAAGTCCTCTGTTTAGGTTGCCTGATTAATGTAATTTTGCTTCATTTGGTCACTGATTATAATTGGCTGTGAAATAATTTTGAACTTTGTGTCACATTACATGCTTGTTCTTTCTCTAGTTTTGTGTCTGGGCCAAGACCAGAGCCACAGAGACTTCTTAGCTAATATAAATTCATCTGTCCTTGGGTAGTTATTTATCCGATTATGAACCCACCTGTTATCCTCCCACATTTTTCTCTACTTAATCTAGATACACAATATAAGGCACTTAATCTAGAGTCACGCTAAAAATCAAGAAACACGATGTATTCGTTTCCTCTTCAGCTACTAGTCTAGGTATCTTATAAGGACAAAAAGTTGGTCTGGAATTGTTCTTTATAAACCCTACTGATAGTGACTCTCCAAAATGTATTTAAAACTGATGTTTTAATATCTTATAGGTTTTCCTCCTAGAGGAAGAATCACATTTACCAGTTTTAAGAAAGCTATAAAGTCTAGAAAGTTGTGGTCAAAAAATACATGTTGACCAGGTATGGTGGCTCACACCTGTAAGCCTGTAATCCCAGCACTCTAGGAGGATTTGGCCAAGGCAGGCAAATCACTTGAGGCCAGGATTCGAGACCAGCCTAGTCAACATGGCAAAACCCCATCTCCACCAAAAATACAAAAATTAGCTGGGTGTGGTGGCATGTGCCTGTAGTCCCAGCTACTTAGGAGGCTAAGGCGGGAGAATGGCATGAACCTGGGAGACAGAGGTTGCAATGAGCCAAGATCACATCACTGCACTCCAACCACTCCAACCTGGATGATAGAGCACAACTGTCTCAAAAAAAAAAATAATATATATATATATATATATATATATATATATATATATACACACACACACATATACATACATATATGTTGACTATATGCTGCCCCATCACTTATGTCATTTAATGCTTTACAGATCTAATTGAATTTATTATCAATGTAATATTATTATATTTGGTTTGGATGTTTGTAGTGTACTTATGCCCAAATTAATGCAAGATGTAATTTAAACTATCTTTGATATTTATTTGGGATAATACATTCCCAAAATGACAAATTTTAAATATATAATATTATAAGATATTTCTCTGCATCTAAAAAATGAAATAAAAATACACATACTCATAAATAGATTCTTACCTTTACCTGCCAATCAAAATCCTGTAGCTGTGCAGAGGAAATAGCAACTATTTCTCCTAACAGAGCCTGTTTGATTTCATCTTTCCTACTTTTCACGCATTTCATGATAGTTTCCTGATGAGATGAATTCAACTGATTCAATTGCTGAAGTATCTATAAAAATAAAAATAGGCAAAAGAGGCTTTCTGTTTAAAACATAAAAACACAATTTCACTCTCCTTTTACACGTCTTTTAAAACAACAGTAAAAGGAAAAGAAAAAAGAAATACTTCTGTAATTATAAAAAAGAATAAGATGAGAATGAGTAACCAGAAAATAGGTTTTAACAAATTTCTGCAAAATAAAGAGTAAAGAAAAAGGACTGATGGAAGAAGCAGCACAAAAATGAATACACCTGGAAAACACAAAAGCCAATACAGCCACGCAGGGTGAGTATCTCAAATCCTAAAACGGAGAAAGTTCTGAGCACTGACAGGATGCTCAAAGGAAGTACTCATTTAAATAGCTGAGATTTCAGATTTCAGATTTTTGGAGTAGGGATGCTTCACTGGTGAGTATAATGCAAATATTGCAAAGTCAAAAATAATCCAAAATCCAAAACACTTCTGGTCCGAAGCATTTCAAATAATGAGTACTCAACTTATATTAATATATCAGACAATGTAGCCTTTAAGGCAAGAAGTCTTACAACAAGTAGAGAAGGACAGTAAAAAGGCCATTCAACAAAAAGACATACAATCGTATATCCGTGTGTACCTAACAGCATAGTTTCAAAATATATAAAGCAGCAAAACTTGGCAGTACTAAAAGAAATGAATAAATCCAATTCACAATTAGAGGTATTAATACAACTCTCAATAACTGACAGAAAGAAATAACAAAATATCAATGAAGATATAGAAAAATTTAAAAACATATTCAACTTCAGCTTAGCAATATATAGAATACTACATACGACAACTATAGAATACACATTATTTATAAATGCATATGCAACATTCACCATAATGTACCATATGCTGAGCCATTTCGCAAACCACGACAGACTCAAAAAACTGAAATACTGTTTATATATTTATTACTGTGTAATAATGAAGTCATAACTAATGAGAAAAGATAATCAAAAAATTTCTACACGTGTGAAAATTAAGTAAAGCAACACTAAATAAATAAATAATATCAATCTCACTTACTCTTCCTGAGGACAAGAAGAGGAAAAAAAAAAATCCTTCCAAATTCATTCCATGAGGCCAGAACAAAACTTGACCCCTTGACAAGAGTATTACAGGGAGGAAAAATAAAGCTAAAAACAAACAAACAAACAAAAACAAACAAACAAACAAAAAAACCACACACACACCTAGGCCAGTATCACTAAAATATACATGCGAAAATCCTAAACAAAGTATTGGCAGTCCAAATGAAGAGACATATATACATAAAAGTAATACATCATGATCAAGTGGGGTTTATTTGGGCAGTGCAGCCTTAGTTTAACATTTGAAAATCACATTAACAAAATAAAAAAATATATAAATTCAGGGAAAAAGCATTTGATAAAATTCAATATCCATTCATGATTAAAAATTCTCAGCAAAGTTAGAATTGTAGGATACTTCTTTAGTCTGATAATGGAGATCTATAAAATCACAGAGCTAACACACTAAATGGTGAAATAGTGAACACTTTCTCCCTTAGGTTAGGAATAGACATATGTCTACTATCACTGCTTTTTTAAAAGAAACATTGCCTGATAGTGTTAGCCAATGCACTAAGGTAAGAAAAATACGTAAAAGATGTTAAAGTTGAAAAAGAAAATGATTATATACAATTGTCTCCCCCCAAAAAAATCTATATACAATTAGACACTGTAAACAAATTTAGAAAGGCTGTGGGACACAAGATATATAAAAATCAACTGTTTGTACATACTAGCAAAACACTAATGAAAAATGAAAGATCAAAAACATCACTTAGAAATAAAAAATATTTGTGAGAGCTCTACACTGAAAACTACAAAATATGAGAGAGAAACTAAAGCTAATCTAAATAAATAGAGGGCTATCATCCCATGTTCATAGCCTTGGAAAGATAATGTTGTTAAGATGTCAATTCTCCCCACAAATGATCTAGCAATTCAGTGTGATCTCTGTCAAAATTCCAGCAATTTTTTAGGTTAACACTGAAAAGTCGATTCTAGAGTGTTATCTGAAAATATAATAGCCAAGGCAATCCTGAAGAAGCATGAGAATGAAGATGTTCTATTACCAGATATCAAGACATAATTTAATTTAGCTTTAATTCTACAGTAATCAAAGCAATGTAGGATTGGCAAATATACAAAAACAGACTAATGGAAGATGTTAAAGAGTACAGATACAGAGGCACACATATGTGGCCATTTGATTTACAATAAAGGCTACACAGCAACCTTGTGGTGCAAGGATGGTTATTTCAATAAATGGTCAACTAGATATTCATGTAGAAAATTTTGAACTTGACCTCCACTCCATACACAAATACTAATTCAAAATGCATCAGTGACATAATGTGAGAGCTAAAACAATCAAGCTTCTACAAGAACACATCCAAGAATCTTCATGTCTTCAGCACAAATATTTCTGAAACAAAACATTAATAGTATTAGCCAGCAAAAGAAATATTGACAGAGCGGACTTGTTAAATTTCATAAGTTGTTTCACCAAAAGACACCATTAAGAGAGTAAAAAGGCAAGCACATAACAGAAGATATTTAAAATACATATTTCTAACAATGAGCTCATATCCAGAATATCATCCAAATCAGTATGACAAACACACATAACTCCATTTTTAGAAAAGTGAGCAACCTACGCAAATAAGCTCAAATGATTTTTGAGCAATTCAGTGGAAGAAGGATATCACATGACCCTGCAATTTCACTTCAAGATATCTACCCTGGAAAAGCAGGTCTGACTGTGCACAAGGAGACACGTAGTAAAGAATGTTTATAGCAGCACTGCCTGTAATAACAAGAGAAGCAATGACTAACTGTTAGCAGGGAGATAAATCTTACGTAATTCCTATCATCAAATACTAAAAGGAGTTAAATACACAAACTAGATCCATGTTTATCAATGTAAAACAAAATGCTGCATTTAAAACAATTTACAAGTGCATACATATGTTACATTTACAAGTTATACACTTAAAACCCCCAAATAATTCAATATACTAAAAGATTCAAACATACATACAACATATAACACAAAACATGAACACCACCTTCAAGAATGCTGATCTCTAGGTAAGGGTGGGATATCCAGGTGAGGGATAGGGGAATTTAGGTGTCTCTGTAATGCTTTATTTCTGAAACAAACACATATTGCAAAATGTTAACACCGTTTAACTGTGGTAATGGAAACGTGGGTAACAGTTATATAACTTCTTGTTTTCTTCTGCAGGCTTTAAATGTTTCACAATTAAAAGAGTAAAAACAACCAAAAATAAACTGCAAAAACCTAGGACTTCCACAGATTTTTCCATCCACAATTATGAGGTATTTGTTTTTATTGATGATGGCCCTTGTATTATACAGTGCTCTAAAAAAACTCAAAGAGAAACCTCAGCATTAATTATTAAAGTTATAGAAATGTGCAGAGAAGTTACCTCTTCATCGGGTAAGTTTTTACCAACTACAGCTTTGAAAAATTTGGTAACATCTTCTAAAACGTGGATCCATTCTTCCGATTCCCAAACACTGTGATAATCTTGGTACACAGGATAAGCTCGACCACAAATGCCATCAATTATTTTGTGAAGAAGCTAGCAAGAAAAAGGGAAATAAATGTACTTATAAGTAAAATGATAAAACAAATTTATCTTCCTTTTAGCAAACAAATGTTAGGAGATGTTCATGTTAACTGCAAGACCAGTTGAAGTTAAAATGTATAAACCACTTTTAAGATTATTCTTATTAAAAATTAAATCTCATAAAAATCCTAGGCTTTCTATTATTATGTCGACCTTCAGAAACTAAAATAATTTTGTTATAAAAATTACATAATGAAAAAACTGAAAAGAAGATACATATAAAAGATACCATATTTACAGCATTGACCAAAGGACAGGACTTACATCAAAGTCCCTTACCGTAGGCCTATAAGCTTCATTTTGCTTTGCCTCCATTTTTGTAACGTTGATACTTTTTTTTCCTCTTGAGCAGGCGTCCCCAAACTGCAGCCCCCTGAGGACATTTATCCGGCCCCCCGCCACACTTCAGGAAGGGGCACCTCTTTCATTGGTGGTCAGTGAGAGGAGCACAGTATGTGGCGGCCCTCCAACTGTCTGAGGGACAGTGAACTGGCCCCTGTGTAAAAAGTTTGGGGATGCCTGCTTTTGAGGGTCTCATTATGTTGCCCAGGCTGGCCTTGAACTCCAGAACTCTAGCAATTCTCTCACCTCAGCCTCCCAAGTAGCTAGGACTGCAGGCGAGCACCACAACACCCAGCTCAGCTGTTACTTTTCTGTATTCCCAGAAAGTCTTCAGTAATTTTTTCCTTTTTTTACACTCCTTTCTATTCTACTAGTATCTTCGTATCAGCAATGGAAAGCCTAACACATGTATAACTGAACATAGTGAGATAAGACTGTGAATTTTGGAATAAAACTATCAGTTCAAATCCCAGTTTCAGTATTTTTAAGTTTGATTTAAATCTTCTGAGTCTGTTTCCTCTAGTGCTAAATGAGGATATCATCTATTCTCGTAATCTTGTTGTAAAGATTGAATAAGAATACATGCAAATCATTTGGCACCTTCCTGGAATGTACAAAGACATGTAGACATTGCAAGCCCGCATTACCATTCTTCTTCTCATTATTATCACTCCTCCTCCTCCTGCAATCAATGCCTTCAACATCTATTAACTGAGATAACACAATGCCAGTACTATTCTAGGCACTTAACATTTAATAAGGTTATCTTTCTCAGAGGATATTCGTATCTTACAAGACGAGTATTTGAACCAAATAACTTGGAAATGACATCTAAGCAACAAGTCTTCCAACTCTTTTCCCCTAGATCATATTCCATCCCATTTTAACGGATAACTCCTTCCCTCTAACACCACGCATACCAGAACACAAGCAACTGTTTCCAAATGGTGGCTAATATACTATACAAACTAATTTTTATTAACCATAAATCAACCAACATACTCAATTTTGAATTCATTCAAATTCTCTACACCTTATCCTATATCGTCCCCCTGCTAAAGCAAAACCCAGAAGCCAAACTGAAAAAGAAAAGCATTATATTTTTTAGAATACGTTATTCATTCACAAATATGTAATGAACACTTCATTCCAGTTATTAAACAAGGACATGGAAATGACCTTATTTAATGGCAAAGAAACTATCATAGCTAGCACTATGGAGCCCTAACTAGGTACCATGCTCTGGACTGATCCTCAGTACAACTCTAAAGTAACTATTTTATTATTCCCATTTTACAAACAAGGAAACTGAGAAAAATAAAGTAAGGCCCTACCTTAACAGAGCTTTAGTCCATTAGAAAAAGGCAAACATATAAATACATACAATTTAGAATGATGGGGCCATAATAAAAGTATATAGAAGGTATAAAGGAGCTCAGAGAGGAAGCAAGGAAAAGGCTGTCTTAAACGGATGAGTAGTTTGCCAGGCAAGCAGGAGAGAAGGGCATTTCTAGACACAAGCAGCGGCATATCCATAGGATGAAAACTGTAAAATCACACTGCTTGATTTAGGGAATAGCAGGCTATTTCGGGGGTGAGGGAGTGACATGAGACAAGGCTGGAGAGGTGGGTGAAACCAAGCCAAAAAGGGCCTTGTATACAAAGCAAAAGAGCCTAGACTTCAATCTGTGCTCAACCGGGAACAATCCTATTCACATATTTGCATTATATTTCCATATATTTAACAGATTGGAAGATGTAAGAGAAGAAGAGAGAGGGTGAGTCTACAGGCCTCCATTTTCAGTTAAGGAGCTAAAGATTAAGGGGCCTAAACTGTTGAGGACAAGGGAGAAGAGATGTGAAAGAGGCCATGAAGGAAACCTAGAATGGCAGGTTGAGTGGCTGGGTGAAAGTGGTGGTGCCACAAACTGAAAAGGAGGCTACAGGAGGAGTAGGTCCAGGGGGAAAGAAGAGCTCACGCAAGGGCACACTGAATTTGAGGTACCTGTGGCAGAAGGCTAACACTCAGAGAAGAGAGTCTGGTTTGGGTTTATGTTCTTGAATCATAGAGGAAGAAATTTTTGGCTGGACCTAGAGATTTAGGAGTCATCAACATATATGGTAGTAAAGATTATGGGTCTTATCTAAATGTGTAGAATGAAGAGAAGGAGAGCCAAAAGCCAACAAAACACTCAGAATCAACAGATCTGAGTATATCTGAGTATAAGTTCCAGCTTTGTCACTTACTGGCTGGGCAACCCTGGACAAGTAACCCAAAATTTCTGCGGACATTTCGGCTTCCTCACTTGCAAAATCAGAGAAAAGAATTCGGGTGTTGTTTTTTTTTTCTTCTTCCCTTGATCCTGGCAGGAAGTAAGTTAATTCCTTTCTGTCTCTCCCACACTTTCTCCAGTGTAAACGGAATAGAGGAAACAGGAAGACCAAAATTGGGACTCAAAAAGATGCTCCACCAGGTCACAGGCTGTCTCACTCACCATTTTACCTCATCCCATCCGGGCGCTTAATGTATGGCAGACTTCAAAGAAAAACTGGCTGAACAAATGAATGAGGTTGCTTTTTCCAGATTCTGACAAGCCAGGTTCTTTGATAGACTGGAAGTCAATGGGCATATCACCTCTTGGGACGACTCTAACTAAAGTAACTCTCCCAGTTATTTCGCTTCCTTCGAAGTACCCTCAACGTGGGGGCAGGGTCCGCTTCGGTCTACGCCACATAGTATTCCCAGCACCTAGCACTGTGCTCGCTGCCAGGTACGTTTGCGTTGAATGAATGAAGAAAATGTTTGCGAAGAGGCAGCAAACACCGACTTGACGTCATAAGCTTTCAAAGCCCAGTCTGAGGCGGGCGCTTCTGCGCGAAAAGCTCCTGGAGCTGCACCTCTAGGCCAGGGCGCAGAGGTGGCGCCTCAACCTGTCCTCCCAGACTCCCCAGAGGAGGCGGGGACCGAACACTCGAAATCACGCCCCTTCCTCCTCCCTTCCCTAGGGAGCTTGCGAAGGCGTGTGGGTCGCACCAGGCCTGACCCGCAAGCCGGACCGTCCCAAAGCCCCGGCCCCGCGCCGCTTACTCAGAGATCCCCCTCACCTGCGGGCCCCGCTCGGCCGGCAGCTTTTGCAGCTGCCGCAAGGGCGTCCCCTCTTCCGGCTCCATCCCTGAGAGAAGCTGGGGCGTAGGTCACGTGACAAGGCTGGTCCCGCGTCCAAAGCCGCGGCTCGCCCACGTGATTCTCTCTGGAGGGGAGGAGCCGGGCGTGGAACCCAGAAGAGTCCCTGTGCGCGTGCGCAGAGACCCAGCCGCCGCTGTCTCGGTAACTAAGGAGCCTTTGCAGCTTGCAAGGATGTGGTTGATACCCCTGTGCTGTTATTTTGAAGGCAAGTGTACATATCTTTCAACGCAGTTTGTAACTTTGTTCAGGGTTTTATTGAACTTTCTCTGTACTCTTTAGAAAACCGTTGCATAAAGGTAACCCTCTATTTGGGTGCCTGTGCATGGTCTTTGTCCCAGAGTTTTAACAAAGTCTCTACCAAAATATCCTGATTTGCAAGGTAAATTAAAGTTTTGCCATGAGCAGCGTTCTGTATACAGATGATCTTAGGGAGAAAGTGCTATTTTCAGCCCCATTTGCAGAAAACAAATAGCATCAGAGAAGCCGCTAGGGTTGTCGAATTTAGCAAATTAAAATACCAAACGTCCAGTTAAATGTGAAATTTCAGATAAACAAAAGTATTTTGTTTTAAGTGTGTCCTAAATATTGTATGGGGCATACTTATACTGAAAATTATTTGTTTATCTGAAATTAAAATTGTAACTGCGTGTCCTATATTTTATCTGGCAACCCTAAAAATTACTAACCTAAGCTAAGTCAGATGCCCAGTCTGAAGTTAAACAAAATCAGAGATTCTAGAGGCATACTGTTAACGTTGAACTAAATCCAAAGTTCAAAATAAACTTGAAGTAATATCTTTTGCAAGGTTACATAGATAGAAGTTACAAAATCACTGGTCTGAGTCCAGAAATGGTGGTCTCAGTCTGCATGCTTGACTACCCCCCGCTGAGGAAAGAAAGGCATGCTGTGGTGAGATGGCTTACTTAGGCCACGTTACAGATGACTAAATAAGGTAAAATGACAAACCCAGCAGGGCCCAAGATTTAGTCAGAGGACACAGAATTAGGTCCTAACTTATCTTTCAAGCAACACTTGAGTACTAAGAAGAATTTGATCTTTTCTCTTGAATTTGAATGGGACAAAATTTAGCCTGTAACAAATACGGTTTCTAAAATAGTTAACTTTAAAGAGACACTGCTTAATATTTGCCCTTTGATTAGTAAGAGGATGTTCTTTTTTCTTCTTCTCTTTTTTTTTTTGAGATGGAGTTTTGCTTTTGTCCAGACTGGAGTGTGATGGTGCAATCTCGGCTCACACAACCTCCACCTCCTAGGTTCAAGCAATTCTCCTGCTTCAGCCTCCAGAGTACCTGGCATTACAGGCATACGCCACCACACCAGGCTATTTTTGTGTGTTTTTAGTAGAGATGGGGTTTCACCATATTGGCTAGGCTGGTCTCAAACTCCTTACCTAAGGTGAAATGTCTGCCTCAGCCTCCCAAAATGCTGGGATTACAGGCATGAGCCACTGTGCCCAGCCTTAAGAGGATGTTCTTATGTGTGTAATCCATATGTGTGTATTAAATTATCAATTTTATAAAATTGGTAATATTATAAAATTATAATATTATAATTGGTTATAATATTATAAACAATTGTGATTAACTATAATGACAACATAGAATTTACAGGGTTGTTGTAAGTTGATATATGTAAAGTTCTTGAAAGGAAGTCTGGTCTGGCACATAGAAATGGCATTATATTCCCTTGTATGTGGCCTTCTTTGCTCTCCTGTTATCTAGCCAAAGCCTAGTGGGTCCCAGAAAGTCTAGTGGGTTCCAGAAAGTTACCCTCCTAGTGAACTGTCGCTGCCTTAGAGATGTGGTCTGCATCTAAAACCCAACTAGCCTGCTATGTAGTACTGTATAGGTAATATAGGTCAGTGCTTACTGTTGGGAGAGATGTTCAAAGATCTCAGGTAAATCCCACTGTGTGCACTTGCTGAGCTGAAACTGGAATTCAAGCATACTATTTGTGAAATAGTTAATTTGTTGCTTTTTTCTGAACATAGTTTCCTTGAGATTTTTTGTTTTGAGGTGGAAGCAGGAAAGAGTTTTGTACACCATGCCTTGAAAAATTCATTCATTCACTCCTTTAACAATTGTTTAAACATCTACCATTGATTAGATGCTCTAATGACTCTGGGAATGCAGGCAGTGGACAATAATTTACTTTCTGGTTTCAGGGAAGAAGGAGTGCTTAGATAATGAACAAGTAGATGATTAGGATGATTAAATATCTTTAAGAAGTATCTTTAAGAAAATAAAACAGTAATATAATAGAGAGGGATGGTGGAAATATACCTTGGATTGGTCAAAAAGCACCTAGCTAATAAATTGCATTTATACTAAGGCATAAAGGCTGAAAAGACATAAAGGCAACATCTAGGGAAAAATAGTTGTGAGCAGAATGCAGAAACCTTGAGGCAAGAGAAAGCCTGCCTTATTCAGGATAATGATGCAAGGCCCTGTGGCTGGGCAGGCCTTAAAGATGCCAGTGATGTGGGCATGGATTTTGACCAGCGAATTGACATAATGTGGTTTATATTTTTAAATGGTTATACGCTGGAAAATAGTTATACTATGCAAAACAGATCTTAGAATGCAAGAGCAAAAGAAGGGGAACCAATTTGGAGACTACTCCAAACTCACTCTAACTACACTAATATAGACATTAGAGTTAGTACGACCCAGTTTGTACCCCCAGACATAGAATTTCAGGGGCTTAGATGATAGGTGGTAGTGGCAGGAACTAGTTACAAATGGAAAGAGTCAAAATATATTTTGGAACTAAGACCTATAGAAGTTGATGATGGATCAGATGCTTGTGGAAGAGAAAGAAAAGTGGAAGTGAAATGCAGACTAAAAGAGATAGTAAAGCATCTGTCTTCCAAGCCAGCATGAGGTTTTATGCCCTGAACAAGAGACAGTGTGTAGAGCCATACACCACATATAGCATACAGAGCCATACGCTATAGCTTCTTTGTTGGTGAAAGACTTCCGGAGGTGCAGTAGTGTAGTGATTAAGTATACAGGGTCTAGAGTCAGGTCTAGGGTCTGGATTCCAATTATGTCTCTACCACTTACTAACCACATAACCTTGGACAAGTTGCATAAACTCTCATACCTAAGTTTCCGCTACTGAATATAGGATAAAAGTACCATTTATTTAATAAAGTTGTTCTGAATCTCAAAATAATGTACATATTCGTGTCCAACTACTGTTAAAAAAAAAATGCATATAAAGTGTTAAGCATAGCACCTAGAATATAGTGTGCCCATAACAGTAAAGGTTAACTGTTAATGTTAGCAGTAGTAGTATTGCTTGGGACACAAGTAGTGCCAATCTGGAGCCCTGGGAACAAAGTGAGGCACATTCACACACATACGCCCACACCCTATGCCACAGATTAAAAATATTCATGAGCAACAGGTAGGTGGATCGGGTGAGGTGCCTTGATAAGTTAAAGTAAAGAAAACATGGAGCTTGCCTCACACCTGTAATCCTAGCACTTTGGGAGGCTGAGTCGGACAGATCACTTGAGCTTATGAGTTCGAGACCAGCCTGGGTAACATGGTGGAAACCCATCTCTACAAAAAATACCAAAATTAGCCAGGTATGGTGGTGTGTGCCTACAGTCCCAGCTACTTGGGAGTCTGAAGTGGGAGGATGGCTTGAGCCCAAGAAGCAGAGGTTGCAGTGAGCCAAGATCATGCCACTGCACTCCAGCCTGGGAAATAGAGCCAGACCTTGTCTAAATAAATAAAGAGAAAGAAATTGAGAGGGGAAAAAAGAGGAGAGGAGGGGAGAAAATGGAGTTGATTCGGAGGGGAGGGGAGGAGAGGGGAGGGGAGGGGAGGAAACAATGGAGTTGATTCATCCCTGTGAGGTCTCATAAACTGACTTGGGCAAGGGGTAGCTGGAGGAAGGTTCTTCAATCATTTGGGTACAAGCTACAGGCCTTCTTAAGTTGGACATTTTAGTAGAGTCTGCTAGTTGTCCCCAATATCTATGCTCTCTGTTATGGGTTGAATTGTGTCCCTCCAAAATTCATTGTTGAGGTTCTCAATGCCAGGACCTTAGAATGTGACCTATTTGGAGACAGGGTCTTTACAAAGGTAAGCAAGTTAAAGAGAGGTTACTAGGTTGGGCTGTAATGAAATGTGACTGGTGTCCTTGTGAAAATGGGAAATTTAGACAAAGAGATACACAAGGAGGGAAGATGATATGAAAAGACATAGGAAAAAGATAGCAATCTACAAGACAAGAAGAGAATCTGGAACAGATCCTTCTTTCATAGCTTTCAGAAGAAACCAGCCCTGCTGATACCTTGATTTTTGGCATCTAGCCTCCAGAACTGTGAGACATTATGTTTCTGATATTTAAGCCACCAGTTTGTGGAACTTTGTTATGGCAGCCCCAGCAAACCAATACACTCTTCTTTCACCCACAGTAAAATAATTTCTACCTGGGCACAAGTTTGCCAGAAAGAGGACCAACTACATTTCGCAGCCTTCCTTTCATCTGGGTTGGGTGGTATCTAAGTCCTGCGTAGTAGGATGAAAACGGAAGTACTATGTAGCACTTTTAGGTAACTTTTATTTAAGGAGAACCCAAATATACCATTTGCCTTTTTCTTATTTGTGTCTGCTTTCATCCTTCTTCCTATAACTCAAATGATGCTGTTTTTGGACAGGGAGGTCATGGGCCAAGTACAGCGAGTCAACAGGATGGAGTTAAGGTACCTGACATTGTTGAACCCATGTCTGATGTCGCGTTAGTTAAGGCTACCTACATGGACATCTATGGGAAATATTACTCTACTTCCCTTTTATTTAAGCCTCTTTTATGGAGGGCCTCCTATCAGTATTCCTCGGCCTAATCCCAACTAATATAAGCATTATATTTAATGACACCTAATTTGTATCCACACGCCTGTAGTCTTGGATTATACTTATGATCTCAATGATAAAAATTAAAAGGCAAATTGTAAAATGGAAGTGTAAATTTGAAAAACAGGCATTCCTATATATTGCTATTGGCATATTTTCTAGAGGGTTGTGG